ATTCATTTGTGAATGGTAATCCTTATCTGCAATTGATCTCTGCTTCTCCTCCCGTTCCCTTTGTTCATAAATTACTGTTGTTGTATAGGATGATTGAGCAGCATGAATTAGCCTTTGTTGAGCATATTCACATGAACGTGGAATGGAATTGTTACAAAATTCTGTTTGAATAGAAACATGAGTCGAAAACGATGAATTGAAGAGATCAACGACGAGAACGTCAAAGGTGGTCGAACTTGGTACTGGTAGACTATTTAATGAAACTTGTCCATCTGAAGTGATGTTCCAATAAGACGATGAAGAATTTTTGACGCCTATTTGCGGTAGAGAGTAGTTCATATTGTCCACATCCAGAATAAATGAAACTTTATTCACAAATGTTTGTGTTAGATCAACAACAGTCGACACGAAAACCTTAAAAAAATTTACATCTAATGATCAGAAAAATACTTTTCTTAAGAAAAAAATTGTTTACCTTTTCTTGCCTGTCGATGGATAAGGCATTAGGTACCAATGATGCATATGGTATTTCTACTGTTAAATTTGGACTAACGACGATATTTAATGTTTTAGTAGTTGATTTCGATACAGGTATTCCTAGATCATAAGCTCTTAATTGATAACGAAATAATCTTTGTTGATCAAATAAACAGGAAGATGAGACAATATAAACGAAACCAAATTGAGTTATCCCAACTACAAGACATTCCTCTTCTAAAGATAATGATCGTATATTATAGCGAACTAGTCCTTGTAGACCACAATCAGCATCCGTTGCCTGTACTTGACCAATGACATCATGCTGTTTTAAATTTGGAATTTTAATAATCCAATTGTAATCATTTGAAGAATTAAATATTGGTTCATTATCGTTCAAGTCATGAATATAAAGTAGGACACGCGTTTCACTTGTCAATGGTGGCTGTCCATGATCTAAAAGACAGAGACGAGTTCAAACTTTTGGTTTAATGAGATTTAGCACACTTACCAATCACTTTCACAGTAAATTCTATTTCATAAATGGTTGAATTTTTTCTAGTATTATTCAATAATTCATAATCTATTGTTTTCATAATGAATAGCTCTCCTGTTGTTGAATTTATTTTTAGAAAATCATTTGTATCATTGACTGTCTGATACTCTAATTCTGCATTCATTCCCAAATCACAATCACTTGCTTTTAATGTCCCAATATAAAAGTCTGTTGGATTATTTTCATTAATATTAAACTCATATATTTTCTTCTCAAATGTAGGTATACAGTCATTTACATCAGTAACATTCAATGTTAATTGGAGACTAGTTGAAAGAGATGGAGTGCCAGAATCATGAGCGACTATTTCAATATCATCGTACAACGATTTTGTTTCTCGATCCAGAGCATATTGTAGAACGAGCGCGTACAATTTTGTATTTTTAATATCACTAACATATAGTAATTTATGAACAAAGGGAACGGGAGGAGAAGCAGAGATCAATTGCAGATAAGGATTACCATTCACAAATGAATCATTGTCTGAGAGAATAACATGAGCTAATGTGGTACCTAAATGTAACAAGACATATAAGTATTCGAACAAGATAGATGAGGTTAAAGCTTACCAATAAGTACATTTTCTTGAACGAATAGGATTGTTCGTTGTGGATTTCGCGATTGTTTCAATGTCGTATTACCTTCTACTTTTATTTGAATTTCAGGTGGATTATCATCTTTTAGAAAGAAAGGGAACTATACTATAGATCATATAAAATAAGAAGAAATTATAAATACTTACTACAATCCAATACTTGAATAACTACCGTAGCATACGTTGGCATTGAATCTTGACCGCCGTCTTGAGCTTTTACAGTTAAACGATATGATTTGACAGTTTCATAATCTAATGATGAAAAGATACGTATTTCTCCTGTTGATGAATCAATTATAAATGGTAACTGGTTGCCATTTAATAGTTCATAACGAATAAGTCCATTTTCACCAATATCTGCATCAGTCGCTTCAACTCTCAGAAGAATTGATCCAACAGGTATGTTTTCTTTGACATCAATATTATAAACGGATTGTTTGAATTGTGGTACATTGTCGTTAACATCCGAAATTTGAATATTTAATTGTGTAGAACCAGAGAGTAATGGTTTGCCATTATCAGATGCTATTAGTGTGAGATTGTACGATGATATCGTCTCACGATCAAGACGACGTTTCACAACGAGATAAGGCATATCCAATGACGAATAATCCAGTTCAAAATCAGATGAATTGAAACCGTCCAGGCTATATGACTGAACACTATTTACACCTACAAATAAAATAATTTAAAACATCGATTTGGATTGCTCTTCTTTCAATTTCTATGAGTCACTTCATATAATCTACTCTACTAGACAAGAAGATCCGTAATAATGTGGCGAAATTATAGACAATACGATTAAATAAAACGGCCAATACCTTCATCTTGATCTGTAGCAATTGGTAGAACAACACGATAACCTGAAATGAAAAATTTAAATGTTTCTACGATGTACAGATGTTTTAATGAGCCTAAAACTATATCTACCTAACGGTACATTTTCTTTGATTTCAATTGTTTGATTTTTATGTGCAAATATTGGCGCATGATCATTTAAGTCGACAATTCTAATTTGTATCGTTTCATAAAGTGTATTTAATGGTAGTTTAATGATCAACTCAAGACTTATTTGACATGATAAACATGAACATTGCTGTTTCAAACACATTTGATCACGATCAAGTATAACCGATGTTAAGATACGCGATTCATTTAATAAAAATAATCTTGTACCAATTTGAGTTAAATCAAAATAGGAATATTTAGCCGATGATGTTAAATTTTGAGTTTTAGATAAATCGACAACTAATGCTAGAAATAAAAATACAAAAATGTTTCAAAGAAAAACTTCTATAATTTCAAATCTAATTTAAATATTCACAGTTTTATATGTAAGACGTTATAAAACTGTTTAGCAGGAAATTGAGTACGTTAAAATTTGTCACCTACTTGATATGGGTAATTTTTCTTGTATTGCATAATAAGGAAGTGAATCTAATTGAGAAAATGATTTATTTATTGAATTAATTAATATGAATATGAATATTAAAATCATCATTTTAAATTCAATCTATAAAAAAGCAAATATATGTACAGATGACGAGTTGTGTTTATCTTACAAATTATTCATCGTATATCGTACAAGTAATATCAACATTGTCTAAGAACAACTGTTTTAAATTTTTTTAATATTTTTCTCTTCTCTCGATTTCACACAAAAATCACTTTATAGTTGATGTTCTGCAAGTGGACAGTATCGCGTTCAAACAAACAGAAAGAATGAACAATTTTTTTTTTTTCTTTTTTTGAAATAACAATATTCTCTCTGTGTATGTGTGTGATGATGTAAGAATACTCCTACCTTGATAATGATTAACCTTGAGGGGCTAACATTTATTATTATCAAAAACTAGAATGAAAATAAGGACAATTGAACTAGCCTCTGGATATTTAGACAAAACGAACAATTTGTAATCAAATACCAGACAATTGCTTTCTCTAGCTAATGTATTCATCGTCATCATCAAGTTGTTGTTTCATTTTTGAACAATAATAGACAAATTTTTAGTTCAATCTAAGAAGGTCACTTTAGTGCCGTTGGGAAATTGCAATAATAATGATGAAATATTCATTATCAACGATATAGACATTTTTATCAGAATAAGGACACAATTTTAAATAGGAAAAAAAAAATCAAATTAGAAATTAGAGAAAGTCCATTTACTACGGTCTACGCATACATGTTCAATAGAACACATTTAAATTTCAATATTTGAGATGTTCTCTAAATCGACCGAAACTTACGGCTGCAGATCGAATTCAAGTACGAAAGCGCGTACTCGCACAACTTCAAATGCTCTCTCTCTCTCTGACTGACATGTTATCATTATAATGATCTAAAAATATACCAGTTTCTACAATGATCATTATGAGAGAACAGGCTTACATGAATTCTGTCGATGAGATAATAAAAAAACTATTATAAAAAATATGCAACTATTGAAAGTTTTTGCGTGTCTAAAGGATAAACTATTATTTATAGTGTTCAAAAAAATATGCCAACTCAATTTTCCAGTTTTGTAACGGTCAAATTGAGAAAAAAACAAAACTTGTCATTTTCAACCATCTGTTCTTCTGCAATAATTAAATTCTATTAATTAGACAAAAATTAGCGAAACTAAAGGAGATCGTCAATTAATTTTTTTTTTGAGATTTACGTTTCTAAGTAAAAGATAACTAAATTCATCACATTGATTAGACAATACAGTAGGCACTTTTTTTCAAAATTTTTCTCAAACATCTGTTTTTAATAGTTACGTACGAATTTAAATTTTTCAAAAACTTTAAGATTATTGTCATGTTTAAAAAAAGTCAGCTAAAATTGACTTACTAGTCTCTGGAATTACTTACCCTTCAAATTTCAAAAAAAAATGTGAAACAGTTTTTTTTAATTAAACAGTACTTTACCTTGAAAAGAGAAGTGAAGTTTCTAATCATATTCTATATTTTTATGAGAAAGTTAATTATCGACCTAGATCTGATATCCATCAACTCTTTCTCTCTCATTCTGAAATTGAAATATGTATATATATATATATATATGTACGTACTTCTTATATCTTTTTCTCTTTCTCTTCTGTTCTCTCTCTATTCGTCCTTTATTCAATAACCTGTCCACTTGTATTTTAGAAGTGGGTATTTTAAATTTTTTTGCTTTTTAGACAAAAAAAAAGAAGTTATTCCCATATTCTGAACAACAACCATCTCTTTTGTGTTTCCTACATAGTCAAAGGCTGCCGATCATCGTGAAGGATCCACTTGGTTTAAGTAAATAAAAAGTGAACAATAGATCTATACTCTTCAATCTATAACCTGAAAGACAGAAAAAAATATGTTGTGCTGACCATATTCTTATTTTTCAAGAACTTCTCACAAAAATAACAATATAATCTATGTCTCTATACATATATTCAGGCATCTAGTGTATGAGAACAAAAACATTATTCATATTAGAGTGTCTTGACCATTCTTACATGTAAAATTTAGAAAAAAAGTTAAACATCTTACCAGTGTTAAACAAAAAAAAAACCTAAATCTACTTTGGTTTATTCGTTATATGTTTCATATACAGATGTTAACCACAACGTGTTCAACCTTCCAATTTTAAATTCACGCAAACAGTCATGGCTTTTTCATTTTGAGAAAACATTCATAATTTTCAAATAATATTGAACACAAATTATCGTCTGCTCATCAATATTGATCTTTATGTACCAGATGATTGATGTTATAAGAAAGGGAAGAAAAAAAACAAGAGGACTATTGGTCATCATTTTTCATTGGAGATTATACATCATTGTATATTCATGATTGTATATTCACATGAAACAAATCCGACATACGGATGAATAAACTAGACCTTTTTTTGTGACGGAAATACGATGGTGTATTCATTCACTTTTATCAAATTTTTATGATCTCATCTTTCAATCTTTCGAAGCCCGTAAGGTTACAATTGTTTACTCATCAGATAACAAAACAAAATTAGACTAATCCCCGGTTTTGAACACTTTTAAAGGTGAAATTATTGAATAACAGCAATACACACATACACATTTGATATTATCGTCACTTTTGACAAAATATATATTCAATTATAGAAGAAGAAAAACAAATTTATATGATTTTTGAAAGATACGATCGTTTGTCCGAAAGATTAAGACTATCCGAATTTTGATGAAAAAATGTTTAATCGACTCCATTTATCTATAATATAATCAATTACTCTCGTTCGATCATAGATACTGACAGCATAGTTAGTGTCGTCTTGATTATAAATATGACCGTGGAGTTGTTTCTAAAACTCTCTTTCACATTGATTTTGATAGACTGTTTTCCTATTTCATGAGTCATCTAGGCTCTAGTGAGTACTATTTTCACAAATTGAATATTTTCGTTTTCAAATATACTCCTTTAGCACGACTAGTTCTCTATATCAGAAATAATATGTGATGATCAAAGATGTCAAATAGTGAATACATGCTGTGTTTTGGTTTACATCTAAATTTGTATCGCTTTTCAACCAGTTTACATCACACCTTGTACCTATTTAGAATCGTAACAAAAAAATATCTTAAGAAAACATTCATCAAAAAACAAAACCTTTTGTTTAGTACTACTGCTGTTCATTTAACTCTGAATACTTCTGCACATTGTCTACCGTCCTTTCACGTAACAGTATCGCACACATAAAAATATATATTCTAAACAGTCATTTTCATATATATGCATAATTCCGAAAAGTATCTCTAAAATAATTATCTAACATTGATTAAATTCTGAAGTAGTGAGTGTGTTTTTATCTATAAAAGAAAATTTCAACTAGTTTTGTATTTTCTCTCAATATGACGATGATCATAGTCAATTATATTCAAAAACATGAAATACATTTTCTCATCTATTGTTTTTCATTAAAATTTAGTTAAATTTATAACAAGATATTATTCGATCAGGAAGTTACACAGCTGTATATTATACAGATCATTTATCGTTTATTAAAAATGTGCTTCACTCACAATAACTAGAACAAAAAGATATACGAAGTATTATTCAATAATCCAAGCAGATGCTTTGTAAAAAGATACTGTGCTTTAATTTCTTACAAAATACAGTGGTTCAATCAGAAAACCAAAACAAACAGGAAATTATCTTTGTAAAAGAAACTCGACTATACTACTTAAAAATTCCTCACTCTGTAACTAGATTTACTTTTTTCATGGAGAAAACATATATGCAATTTATTTTGATGAAGGATGTACTCCATTAAGCTAGTATACTTTCTTTTTCACAACAATCAATCATTCCTACTCTCTAAAAACATTTCGTTTTTCCACAGCACCAATAAAGGGTATGTCTATATCGGGAAATCCCACACTCAAAGCAAGTCTACCAAATCAAAAGGTATACTAAATACAGAAATGATATTGTACGATAACCCAGCGGAGAAAAAATTGACAAAAAAAATTGAATATAAAATCATCATCATC